TGTTGTATCTAGAGGACTCGAAAGCGCGAGGCTCATAACCTGTTAGAGATACTAGAGATCTACGATGAATGTAGATGTAACTGGAAATCTCTTGATGCGTTGAGAGAGAGAGAAACTATCTACATGCTATGACTGAGACTAAGTACTGGGAGCAAACAGTGGTGGTCACGTGACCTTCCAACAAGTATACTCGTAAAGGATCAATGTTTACCACTTGATTATTTCTATACCTATTCTCGGTATACCTAGGAGAATTTAACCCCTAATGGCTAAAGTGATCCCCAAACCCGAAGTTCAGAATTGGAGATCTAATAATAACGATGAAAGAGTTGACCATCTCTATTCCAGCCACCCGTGAGCGACCACCGGGGGGATGGATACGCGTACGGGTAATGATTTGCTTCCGCTTCGCTCAGCAAATCTAGTCCGCTTTGAATAAGGCCTAAGGAACGACCTACAGCTAGGTTAGCGCGAGGGGCCAGGATAAAAGAAAATCGGCTACATTCAGTTTCTCCATGCCAGAAGGACCCTCTTAATATACTCACCCACGCTGCTTAGGGTCAGTATGATCGCAATAAAGCGGTGGACATCGAGAAGCCGGGCGGATGGTGGATGAGTTTCGTAATGAGCACTAAGGGTTAGCGAGCCGAGTGTCATGCAAAAAAGGGCTCCGATCGATCGAGTCAATTCTATACCGGTGTTGAATAGCGGTGCGTTCGAACCCAATCTGACAATCGCCGAAAGACTGGTGGTGGTCCAGTGCTAACGTAATGCAAGGGCATGTTTAGGGCTGAGACTTTTTTTTGACTACATCTTACTCATGCCTGCAGCAGAGACAGGGCGAAGAAAGAATATGGGGTCGTTAACCATCTTTGATATGGGCAGAGAGCACAGAGGCCTAGAAACAATAGGACTAAGAGCTTGAGGATCTCACTGGCTATAGTTATACGAAGCCAACTGTATGTCTGTTCTCCGATTTATGCACAGGTCTTTTAGGTGTTCAAAATCTGTAGACATGTTCATGATGGCATTTGGCGAGAAGCGCATCCATTAGCAATTGGATCACCAACCATGTAACATCGGCCCAACTCTCGCACAATCGTAGGAGGCAATGAAGAGACAGGGCAAAGAAAGAAGAGGATGAGTGGAGAGACATAACTACCAAAAACGTTGTTGATAGCCGAACATCTCATTCCAATGTGTAGTCAACTTTTGCCGGAAGAGCAAACATATCACAAAGATGCGTGTGACGTGCTGCTGCTTTGAATCTCTTGCATAATCACTCTCCTGGTGTCTTCATCTGCGGAATGCATCACTGTTTGACGTTATCAAAGAAGGCTGTCAGGATCTCTTTCGCCTTTGCCCTAACAGCTTCGAGTACATAGATTGGCGACACAGGTATATAGCCCGGTTCAGGAGCGAGATCAGCAGACATGGTCGAATACCTAGGTGCAGGGAGTGAGCAGCTGTAACAAAGACGTAACCGAGAAGGAACTGGTCGTCGAAGGTCTCGAAGGGGGTGATGGCATTCCACTTGAACTACAAACCGCCTTCCCCTTGCCGCCAGCCCCCCCCCCCCCCCCCCCACCCACCCTCAAACCCATAAACTCCGCACAAATTGCAACGGTCGGGCACGCAAATATTTTCGTGGTGACTGACCCACCCGATCGTCAATCTTACAATGACGTAGATCGATATTTCTTGTTTATTTCCCTTTTCACTTTGGGATCTTACAGGACCTTGTTTAGTTTTTTTTTAAATAGATCGAACGTCATAGTGTCAAAACTTGTCAACTAAAATCTTATAAACTCCCAGTTGTACTAAATTTCCCTACCAACTGGTATTGTTACTTTGCGAGCGTTTTGTTCAGAGCTAGAACTGTCCTATGATTTGGGACCTACTGGGAAACTATGAGATACATTCCTGTATATGCCCTTGTACAGGCCTCACTTGTCGCAATTGCTTCTACTTCCCCGGCTCCAACTGCTTTCGTCGGCAATGTTAGCCCGCCCGACCCTTTCATTACACCTTCCCCCGTCGAGCATAATCCCTCTCCCATCGTTGGCCGCAACATCTTGAGCGACGTTGAATCGGATGTGGGCAATGTTCTTTCGGGCCTTGGGTCTGGCCTTCCTTCGTGGGTCGCATCTGGAGTGCCCAACTTCTTCCAGGGTTTCCCGACTGGAGACGCAGTTGTGAGCTCCCTCGGATTGGACAGCTCCAAATTGAAAGCATTACCAACCAATGTGTTGAACATCGACCCATATGCCAACTGGACCAGCTCCGGCTGGAACGTTCGCTTTCATGGAAATGTCTACAAGCAACCCAACACGTCTGTCTCAAAGTTGAACGATCTGGCCGATATCTTCCTCGTCAACACTAGCATCTCGGACCTTCCCAAATCCCAGCAAACTCAGGCACGTAATCTCACTGCCGAGATATTTGTTGTACAGCAGCCAAAGGTTGCCGTGAATAAGATCCACCTCAAGCCTGCAGCGAGTCAAGGATCCAGTGGACAGCCAGGCGGCGGTGGATCATCCAACACAACAGGCGGTACGCAAGATATCACTCTGCCATACAACACAACTGTCGAAGGGGATTTTGACACCTTTGTGTTGATTGAAAGTAATGGCCTTACGGCGGGAAATGAAACCTCCGCAATCCAGAGACTAGACACTCATGTCGAGGGCGCAAGTATCGGAAATTCTACGGCGTATCTTGTGCCCCCAACAGGGCTCACCATCATTTCTGACATTGATGACATTTTGCGTGTCACCAAGATCTACCAACCAGAGCAAGGATTACTCAATTCTTTCGCTCGTCCATTTACAGCTTGGGAGAAGATGCCAGAGATTTACCGCAACTGGTCCACTAGCCTACCCGATACGCATTTCCACTACCTTGTAAGAACCCTTTCCTCCCCTCCCCCCCCTCCCCAGTCTTCATGTCTTGTGCAACAGACTAACAGGTCCTTCAGACCACCACCCCCGAGCAAGTTACCAGAAACTATATGGAGTTCATCTACACGAACTACCCAGGCGGATCCTTCGACACCCGCCCTCTCAACTTTAGCGACGTCTCTGCTACTCTGTCGATCCGCATGTTCTTATTGCAAAAGATATTCGAAACATTCCCAAAGCGGAAGTTTGTCCTGGTGGCAGACACCAGCAACAGCGACGTCATGCGCGACTACCCAAAACTGGCCACCGACTTCCCCAATCAAGTCCAGTGCATCTTCCTCCGCAATACCTCCGCAACCGATCCAGGTGACAAATTACCATACGACACGTCCGGATTCAAGGGCATAAAACAGTCAAAGTACATGTTTTTCCTGAACTCGGCTGACCTGACCAACTTGGACATCGCAAATGGACAGTGCTACAACCAGTCGATTCCGCAGAACCTGACCTTCGGATACCAGGGACTGCCATTGGGACTAGGGGCTACTCCTACTTCAGTCAATGGGTCAGCTAACCACACCGGAGCTGCTAGCGGACTTGTAACTAAGGACTCGGCTGGTGCACAGGGCCTAATGGCACTGGTCGCAGCAATTTTGACAGCCACTTTTATGTTGTTATAGAAATATGCAGATACAAGTTAATGCACGAACCGAATGGATGATTTAAGGCACATCCTTCGTGATCTACGTACCAACTTCCTTCCATTCACGACATTGGCATTGATGATGTGCAGCTCATCACCATATTTATCTATTGAGCTGGCCTAGACGGGCGGGTTTGGGGCCGGATTGATGTACGATGCCAACGCAATCTGGCCGGGAAGTGGGCATATCAAATTAGTTCTTCTTTGACGTAAGCTGCCAGTGATACGTCCGGCCGCCTGAACTTGAAATCCTGGAGCCCGATTAAGGATAGCGAGGGTATGAGTCAAAGGAGTGAGGTGATGATTATATGCTTTTAGGGCTGGGGGTGGCACACACGCCTACATCGATTTATCTCTTATGTGTTGGCGAAACATCCTCGTTTGTCGCGATGTGCTCAACGCTTTTCTTGGCCATCTGGGAAGCCATCTTGAATTTCTACAGAAGATACAGCAGTAGAAGCAGTAGTAGTATCGTAGACGAAAGCCTGTTCTAAGAGCCTGGCTTGTGGACTTCCTAAATAGACAAATTGCGCTAATTCGGTTTGTGGAGCCCTCAAGGGTTCATTGACGAGCTGATGCATTGTTGTTCGATGACCGGTCGTAAGTTTCACCGCATTCTGAAATTTGCCGTCCTACTTCTGGCTGATGGTTCGCATCATACGTCAAATGACTACTGGTTATGTAGCAACACATGGTTGAAACCCCCGGGAAATCTACGGACCACCAACGGAACATGTTGCGATTAGTCAGATTGACTAGTGAAGTCTCTGTTCGAGTCCATTTTAGTCGATTAGGAGTTGTGGATTTTCACTGATCATGCCACACCTTGTTGTCCACCTACAACATGGTTATCTGTCACCGTGCTGAACGTCGTTCATGGACAATCTCTTATCTGATGGCCAAGCTTTTGCTTCCTTCAATTTGAACTCTCCTTTTGTGTGTCTTCACGAAGCCCTAGCGGTACCCATCCAGGGAGTGAGCACCAATCGCTGGCGGCTGGACCAGATCATTTCTGCCTCAGACGGCAAGAGTATGCAAACCCTGCAAAAAGCTTTCAGGAGCACATGAATGCACGTGTCGTATCACGTGGGTTTACAGATAAGCATAGCCGAGCCAAGGATCTGGGTAAAGGCTTATCTGTTCAGAGGGGGCACACACATCGACAGGCGAAAATCTGTGTCGCACTAGTCTTCCATGACCACGGAGCTCTCTCTATCAGACGGACATGAACTGTCGGGGACTTCCGACTAACCAAAATCAAAAAGGATCTAAATTAGCTTGAAGTGATAATCCCTAGATATATCTATTCGATAGAACCAATCAGATGGATGGTAAACCAGATTCACCTTGCGGATTGTACACCTAATTCTCGTTCCATTTTCGATAAGCGGAGTCCGTAGATAACCGGTGACCACCCCATCACTAAGAGGCCCGTGTGGCGTGTGTTGGTAGGATAGACTAGCTGAAAGGAACCCATGATTCAAACTAGGCAGTTGCATGGGCCCAATGCAATGATTCCGATAACTCCTAAATTGGTGGAACCGGGAAAGATTCTCACACAAGCCTTATCTTTTTCTCCACTCCCACAGCCTTAAAAATTCAACGATTCCCCGAGTGCTCTCCCAAATTTTCTACCTTATTTTTACATCGCTGCTACTCAATCCACTAGGCATCATGGCCTATGATCCGGAGAAAGGCCTTGCAACTGGCCAGCAGCCCACTGAAAAGCACAGGTCACCGGAGGTGATTTCAGTGGACGATGCGCCCACTCACGAGACCGGTTTCCTCGCTAGGATTCGCGCCCTAGAAGCCAGGCTTGATAAAAAACTCGGGATAGAGTCTGACGCCATCGAGCGCAAGCGTGCTGAAGATAAAAGAGAGGTCCATTGGGTGGAGGAGATATCAATGGCGGCCCTGTGGGCGAGTAGCACGATGAACACGTCCTGCTTTGCGACTGGCTTCCTCGGCTGGGAATTTGGCCTGACGATGAAACAATCGATGCTCATTTCGATCTTCACTTCCATGTTGGCTGCATCGATGAGTGGCTTCTGTGCGACCTTTGGCGCTGTGACTGGCTTACGTCAAATCAGTGTCAGTCGGTACAGCTTTGGTTGGTGGCCTAATAAGCTGGTTGCCTTGCTGAACGGTATCCAACAATTGGGATGGGCTGCTGTCGCATGTATCACTGGAGGTCTTGCATTGACGGCAGTCTCCGATGGCCACGTCTCTTTGATTCTTGGGATTGTGATCTTGGCTGTCGTGGCCCTGTTGATTTCGTGTGTCGGATTGAAAGCCATTTTGGTTTACGAGAGATGGGCCTGGATGGTCTTTTTGGTCATTTTCCTGATCATCTACGGCGAGACCGGTCAATATGCAAACAATTCGGCCCCGGCTACCGTGACCGGTTCCTCTTTGGCAGGGGCCGTTCTCAGTCTTATGGCCATTGTTTACGGATCCAGTGCCTCGTGGTGCACAATGGCTAGCGACTACTATGTCCACTATCCGGCCAAAACGAGTCGGTTGAAGGTTTTCCTCATGACAACCTTTGGTATCTCGATTCCCACTTCGATCGGCTTGGTCGCTGGCTGCATGGTCGCGTCCGCGTTAAACACTAAGCCCGAATGGTCCGCCGCTTACGACAAAGGGATTGGCTATCTCATTCAAGAGATGCTTCACCCTCGCGGATTCGCCAAGTTCCTCCTTACACTCCTCGTCTTGTCCGGCATCAACGTCAATGTCATTAGCATTTATAGTTCCGCCATCTCCTTCCAGCAACTTGCCCGGCCCTTCGCTCGAATTCCTCGGTCTCTCTGGACATTGTTCTGCTTCACCTGTATCCTTGGCTTGTCAATTGGTGGCCGGCAAAAGCTGAACGAATACCTTCAAGACTTCTTGAGTCTGCTGGGATACTGGTGCACAAGTTATGCCGTTATCGTGTTCCAGGAGCATTATGTCTTCCGCAAAGGCAACTTTGATAACTACGATCTCGAAGGGTGGAACGACCCGGCCAGGCTTCCGTTGGGAATTGGCGCAAGTGTGGCGTTTGCTCTTGGGATTGTGGCGTGGTGCATGGGCATGGATGAGACCTGGTATATCGGTCCACTTGCTGCGAAGATTGGAGATACCGGTGCAGATGTTGCGAACGAGTTCACATTCGTTGTGACCGCTGTGACGTATCTACCCGCAAGATACTTGGAACTCAAGTACTTCGGTCGATAAATTGTGTCTGTCGAACCGGAAGTTCGTTCGCTTGTGTCCATACTACCCTTCCTAATGTTTCATGTCTCCTGCACTTTGTGGTTAGTTGCATCGACCACACAACTTTAATTATATATACATCTTGAGTACTGAGAATCCAAAAAAGTTCGTCTTTTGTCTTTCCTTCAATCGCCACCTATCTCGATTTCGTCGAAAATAACTCTGGACACTTGACTACAAACACCAACTGCAAGCAGAATCAGCCAACCCTTTTTCACCAAAGGGACCAAGCGCTATAGATATTGCACTCTAACTCCTGCTCCATTTCATCTTTCTATCATCCCCCACCCATGCATAAAACAGATGATCGATCACTATATGGGGTACCGGAGACTTGCGAACCCCACTCCCTATGAAGCCAAATGCGACGTGGAGCACGGAAGGAGCACTCCGTGCATATTTCACACGCCAATCCCGTACTTTGGTCAAGGAAGAAAACGTGAGATGGCACGTCGGGAGGGGTGCGGCCCTTCCCAATCCTGTGGCCCTACATCACTCCTGATCCAACCATGCAATCCTCTAGCTCTACAGAATGTTTAGTTCATGACTGCACCGGCACAAGGACGCATGTACAACTTTGCCATGCCTAACTAGAGCAGTATACTTCGGCAGTGAAGTCTAAACCAAGTAGGGATTCCTCTCTGCTCAAGCTTGTACAATTTTTTCCATGGTTTTACGGAGGAAGGAAATACATCGCTGCGGTCTTCTCAAGCTGAATGTAATTGCTGAATTGAGATATTAGTGATGGTCGTAGTGATCTAGGGCACTCGATTCTATTAAAATTATAAATTTCCAAAAAGTCCAGCAAATTCAAGAGATTAACGATTGAACTTTTTTAGCTCCAACCATCGCAGTCCCGGATATGTCAGCATAGCCCACGATGACCCAACCCAGATACCGAGATCCGAGCCACTGTCGCCAACCATCTTGGCTATTGGCCCGGCGTAGTATACCTCATTCATAGAAACAATGGACCCAGCCCAGCCGATCAAGAAGGCTGCCAATGCTGCGAGACCAATAGGTAATTTGGAGCGATCGGCCCAATCCCCCCATTTGAAGCCTCTCGATGGGCGGAAGATTAAATGTTCTTCCAGAGCAATCACAAGGTAGATGCAAACCCAGTATCCCATCAGAGAGAGCCAATTCTGGAAAATTTCCGATAGGTGGTTCCGACCCACCAACGCGCAGACAAGGTAGATGATGACGCCGACGCAGGTCCAGAACCACCGGGGAAGCTTGGCTGGGTAGCGGCCCAGCATCTGGAAGCCCAGGGAGGCGGAGTAAGTTCCCGCGACATTGTTGGCGACCTGACCCAGGGATACTAGAACGCCCAGGAACTTGCCAAAGCCGCCGAGTCCGTTGTACCCGGCTAGGATCAAAGCACCAGAGGAGACGTTATTGGCCGCCTCCCAGTCGGGATTAGTTGCTACGCCTGAGCCGAGACCGACACCGAGCAAGTTGGCAAAAGTCAAAGATAGACCGACACCGAGGAAGGTCATGATGAAGGTTTTCGACTTGTCCGTGTTAGGGGGAAAGTAGACATAGAAGTCCGCACCGGCGGGAGCCCAGGCAACAGACGAGGATAGGCAGAGCGAGAAGAAGGAGAGGCGGTTGCCGGCGATTGTTTGCGTCGAACCCGTAGACACGATTGAGGTGTCAAACTTGGGGCCAGCGCTACCAACAAGGACAAAGGCGGCCACGAGCTGAGGGACCCAGGCCCATCTATCCACGGTTCGATTAGTATCTCGGTCGGGCTAGATCAGGGACTGATGAAGGGGAAATTCGTACCGCTCATAGGCATGGAATAGCCGCATGCCAAACAGGACCACGACCCAAGTGATGATCACGACGATAACCACGCCTACAGATACGGTCATGTGGTTTCCAGCTACAGCGGAGAGGACTTGTCCACCCACGATGCTGTCAACCATGCCGTACCCCAGCATGATAACAATGTTCAATAGGGCGCATATCTTGCTAGGGTAGTATCCCATAAAATACCGAGCCACGACCTGATTGCGTCAGTTCATCGGTATGCCGGTTGACATGTGCGCGATTAGATCATAATCATACCATGGTTCTGTTCCCGCTGATTGGGCCAAACGTGCCCATGTAGGCAACACCCGCGGCGCCCAGTAGAGCGCCGAAGGTGCCGCAAAGGGCCGAATCGACAAAGCTCAGCGCATAGCTTGACGGACCCAGCATCCCCACGGCAATGTTGTTTGCCGTGATGTTAACACTGAACCACATCAGCGCCATCTGCATATAGTCTGCCGAGGTTACTCTGGGCTTGCGCTCATCGAGCGGAACACGCTCGATACCGCGCGACTCGAAGAAATCGAGCTGGCTCAGACGGGCGTTGAACCGCTCAAAGGTGTTTTTCGGCGGAGGCAATGGAAAGCTTGGCCCCGATGATGGTGATTCAAGTACCATATCAGGGCGAAAATTCTTCTCTTCATCTCCCATAGTTCGCTCCATGATGCTTTGAAGAAAAGCGGATATCAGTGTGCAGACCAAGAGCTTGGGAGAACTCGAATGGGGCCTTTAGAAGCGCAGACAGAGCGTTCTACTAATACTTGATTCATTTTGACGCCCACGCAAATAAATAAGTGATTTTCTGAGCCGGATGTAACGATAGCCGGAGAAGGTGTGGAGGGGTGTGGAGGGGGGGTACTCCGTCACTGATGTTGCGCTTGTAGAGTGGCATATCATTGGTACATTTACCCTACTATTCCCGCCACTACACGTGGGCTGCGAGCACTAGTAGGAGGGGCACTAGTAGAAATTCGGTATTTCTACCGTGAAGAAGTGGTCTGATGTATAACCAGGGTACCTTGCAAAAAAAAATGCAAAAAATGCCAAAAAAAAAAAATTAGGCAGGTACTTTCCGGCTAGTCCCGCCCGTTCCGGGGCTTGGCCCCCACCATAAGATCAAGCTTGGCAGCGCCACTAGGCTTTGTGCTAGTTCACAAATGGCCAGACGTTGTCCACAGTTAATTTACGCATTGAAGTCCAAGCCATGAAGCCCAATTTGATGTCTCTTGACAGCGGTCCAGCCGGAATGCCCTTACATTTGATTCGCCAGCCCCACTGTTCTCCCCACCCCCGCTCGGGCCTCATCGGAGAGTCACAAAATCAATCTACAGGGCGAGAGACCGTACTCCAAAGACGCCCACTACTCAAGTTGGAAGGCCAAAGCTGATAATCCCAGGCGGGAATCTTGCCACTCAGAATCATCGGTAATTTTACAACAGAAATGGAACGTGATCTCACAACTTGTTCGTCGACAGCGTTACTCCCAATCCTCCTCATTGGTGGATTTGATTGTGTCGGCCCCCGGTCAACATGCGGCCATTGCCCGTTATTACTCAGTGGGTCACAATCACCAGACAAGATATATTGTGAGCAAAAGTACAGCCGTTTTACCACTAGCCCACACAAATAGTCAAGATTCATAATTCTGGCCAGGAGGGGCAATTTCTTGGTTTGACATATCATAATCCTAACAGTCACGATGAGAGATGAGTTTCATGCTACCCCCTGATTCTACAGGCCTAAAAAGGCCTGCTGTACACCTTAAGACTCCCATGTAGCTCATTCACGGAGGATCACCACGCCTCATACGCACACAACATGTCGAGTCAAGGTGGTGGTTCAACACATGACTTGATCGTCGAGTCATGGATCATGTACGGCGTGGGCATATTATTCTTCATTTTGCGACTGTCAGTGCTTTTTTCGGGCTCAATTGCTGCTATTTTTACCGCTGACTCGACCGTAGTTATGCTCGGTACAAGCGTATGAAGTTCCACTTTCAGGTTGAGGATTATATGATGTTTTTGGCCATTGTACGGACTGGCAGTCTCCAAGTTTACCCCTTTTGACCGTATGAGGGCTAACTGTCTCATGTAGATCTTCTACACTGCGTTTGTAGTCACGAATATCGAGATCACCAATTACGGGAGCACCTTGTACGAACCAGGTCAATTCGAGACTTTCACTGCCTATGACATCCAACAACGGGTCTTGGGCTCGAAAATTGAATTTGCGTCGGAAAATGTGAGTCGGCCTGGACGGGCTACAAATGACGACTTCTAACTCGCTTTTCCCAGTGTCAAGTGTGTACCGTCTATTGTCTGAAGGCCTGCATGCTGTTGGTATATTTTCGAATTACGTGAGTGAAAATCAAGCCATTCGGACCCTCAAAAACTGATTCACGGTAGATCTAACCTCAAGCAACATCAATGGGTCAAGTTATGCGCTGTATATACCGCCCTTGGATGGCTGGCCACCGAGTTGACCTTGTTTTTGAACTGCCACCCTGTATCCGGATACTGGACCTTGCCGCCGCCTCAGCGCCAATGCGCTACTTACCTCAACTTCGAGATTGTACAGGCAGTCTTCAACATCAGCTCGGATGTCACGATTCTCTTGGTGGTTCTACCCCTTCTGTTCCGAGCACGTATGCCATGGCGGACTAAGCTTCCAATCGTGGTGGTTTTTTCAATGGGCATTGTGGTAGTAAGTTGTTTTATATATTCTCATCCCAACCAACGACCCATCCGACGGTGCTAATTGACAGCAGATTCTCTGCGCTATTATTTCCAAAATTTTCACCTTCCGCAGCATTTTCAACACGAGCTACCAATTCTGGTACCTGCGTGAAGCTTCCATCGGCGTCTGGGTAACCAATGCCCCCTCCGTGTGGTCCTTGGCCCGCTCGACCATCACCTTCCTAAAGTCAACCTCCAGCCCCACAAAATCCACGCCCGGGTATAATTCAAGTGCGCCTGGAATATCTGCCAGTCGGGCCCGGACCGGTACCGAAACTCCATCATCTCATGCACTCAGTAGAATGTATGACATGGAACATCACAGCGGAAGCGAAGAGGCTATAATTGAGATGGATGAAAGGAATAAGGCTCTATATACATCAGCCGAGTCAATTGACGACAGTGCACCGTCAGCCTCAGATTGGAGCGGACCAACACATGAAAACGGCTCTGCCGGGGAGCAGGAAGGCCATATCTGGAAGACGACCGAGATTACTATCCAGAAGAGCTAGACAACATCTTTGAATAGTGTGCATTATTCTGGAGGTTTGGTGGCCTTAAAAATGGCCAATGCCGTTTCTGCAAAACTGGCTCGAACTAGGATTTATATCTGGAATTTTTTTGGAGCCCCAGTGACTTGGCCTAGGCCTCTCGACACATACAACCCAAACTAGGTTATGAGTTCAATCTCGCCGAACCCGCGGGAAAACAAATACGCGGGAAAAAAACACAGCAAGGTGCCCTTACACTATAGAAGACAACGTCGAGAGATAATTGACCATTGGGGCAAAAATTTTCCCGTCCGAAGCGTGTACCCTACTTAGTCCGAATTCTGTCAACATTGATCGGTCAACAACACACTAACTTTGGCTAGGGTATATTGCATATACTATCTACACCAATTAGTGACTTGTTTGGTAGGAAATATACAGTATTTGGTTGAAATTCGACTTGAAAAGTATTAGCTCTATGAGGATTGGCGGTGTCTATCTTGACAGAATTCTGACTTGATAAGGTAGACGAATTGCCTTTCCTCAAGTTGTTCTTCGGGGCTACTTCCACATTTGCCCTGAAAACACTGATGGTCGACTTCTAATCATCCGGTGGGATAAAATTTTATCGGCAATAATCATCTTAAATACAAAGCTTTCTCCGCTTCCTCCACCTCGATCTTTCAATTTGCGCTCATCACACCCCAATCACCCTCCGCCCAAGACCTCGTCATCTTAAAGGTCTCAATCTTCCACAGTTCACTACTATCATCCTTCACCAAATCGACATAGTACAACGCCCCAGCCAGCAGACGCGGCTGGTTAGGCTGAAGCCCCTTCCCACTGCCGTAGTGTTGCGCGATCACTGAGGCAGTCGCAACGGCCTTGACTCCACTGTCGGCGATATTGATACGGATGTTGGTGACATAGTGTGTGGTGTCCAACTTGCTAATCACGTCAAAGCAGTCGGTGTGGATGGCGGGAAGGCCCGAGGAGATCTTGTCGTTGATGGATAATGTAGCGGTGGAGGTGAAGGCAGAATCGAAGAGGGCCGAGTCGTTGGTGTCCAGCCCGAGGACACAACGATAGATTGCGTCGGCGATGGCGTCGCGGCTGCTTAGCGCGGGGGTCAGGATTGCGGGGAGGGAGGGGAGGGATGTCATGGCCACAATAGGTGAGATGAGAGTAAGATCAGTTGTGGAAGTGAGAATTAAAAGGAAAGCTGGAAGACTGTTATAAGTAAGGTTGAAATCGAAAAAATTCACGCTGAGGCGGGTGCGAATTGAAGTATCTATAGACCTCTATCCTTCGTTAACTCCGCGGGAATATTTGGATCTTCACGGAGATGTCGGAGTTAAGGCTCACATCGGACATCAGCTCGAATCTCACATACAGAGTTTGATTGTAACTGAGAGCGGTTACGGTCAATTGGGGGGGCCAGTGTTTGTAAAATGGTAAAATCCGATTGAATGGAGTGGGGGAGTCTGTGACACTGAAAGGACATCTCTGGGGCAAAATGCCAGCAAGGTGTTGTACCATTTGAAAACTGATTCATCATATAGGTTGCAATGTAGTAGAAACAAGAACGGTACGACAGACGGGGCGCTTCCAGGGAGCATAATCATCGCATCTGTTACTGAGCTTTCCCATTAATATGGCTCTGAGCGAACAGGCCAAAGTATCGAGAGGGGCGTTGCTACTACTCATGGTATGATTTGAGAGATGTCATTACCAGAATAATCTACATTAGGGACCCTTGAACATTGTATCTAATTATCAAGGATGCTTGAACGACTTCTTCGTCCTTGAAAGGGCACCCCACGATCTGGATAGTTGACAGTAGGTTTGCAAACAAATCTGTATCATCTGGCATTGAAAATACTTGAAAAACGGTGACGGTAGAAGAGATCGGACTGGGCAGACTTATACAATTCAGAATTGAGCCTGTCTCAGGATTTCTTTCCGACAGTTTATAGGCGTCATTCACACGGTCTAGCTCGGGGTCAACCTTGAATTTTGGAATTGTCAAGATAACGGAGGGATAGTCAAGAAGATTTAATAACGAGGTACACCCCCAGTAGACGTTGAGGTCAAGAGGATAGCCCACTGCAGAAGCTGGGGCACTATTAGTGCATCAATGGTACATCCGGGGTGACCAACTGTGCTGTTCCGTGCATCTGCAAATATGTCTTCAAGGGCTTCAAGTTTTAAGGTCCCACTGTCCAAATGTTTTGGATTTTTTTTTCTCCCGCTTTGTCAACATCAACACGAAGAAGATACGTAATTGCAATGCTTCCACAGCAGAGTGCTCTCAGGGGTTGAAATCCTTACCTAGTTCCCTGAGACCCCGATGGATAATGGACATTGAACTAAAAGTTCCGTTGATTGCAGTTTAGGAAAAAGTGGTCTGAACCCACTCGTTGTTAAGCAGAGCGTGCGAATTATGCATCACATTGTCGACTTCAAAAACATTCCTTCTATTAACAGAACACGAGTGTCTTTAAATCCACAGCGTGTTAAATGAAAGACATTTGGCGGATCGGACAGGTCAGAAACCACTCTTGAGGTTTCATGACGTCATCGGCACAAAAGTTCGGTGGATCCATGTCAGCCCCACAGTCGATGACAGGTCGTTATTCCAATCCAGTTCTCTCTGATTACAAGATGACCCTGGTAAAATAGTAATAAATGGCTGCTAGAACCACAATGGGAAAACAATGTTGGAGAATCAGGTACCACTGTATTGACACAGATAGTGCTTGCTTGGTGGTGATCCAGGTTCATACTTCACCAATTGAGTAACACCCGGCCATTGAGAGAATTGAAAGATGTATTACAGTTTCTACTATGAAGTGTAGAAATAACTGGAAAATCTCTGTTGTGCGTGAAGGGAGAGAGAAACTATCTACAAGATGGGAAACTAAGTACTAGGAGCATGTGGTAGCATGTGAATATTCACATGCTTCCAACAAGAATATTAATAAAACTTCACATAAGAAATTATGCTTTGTATACACCGAATCGTTAGAAGACATTGGTTGAGAACTTGACGGGTTGACAAAATGTGCACGTCGTTTGCTGAGGAACATCGCGAGAAAAAGAGAATATGCTCCATGTCTTTGCAATTCAGACGGTTGTCGCGATTAGACTTAAAAATTTGATCTGGGCATTCATGCTAATCGCACGGACCCTGTGCCTATACTTATACAGCACAAAGGGGACAGGTGCTATGATGGTTGTGATAATGCGGACAGTTGTCAATGACCAGTGGGGGCCGATATTCTCATACATCTTGAATGATGCTGGGCTCAGAGCACCAGAGATAAAGAATTGTGAAAAGGTCAAGAAGTCCAGAGCTGAGGCTGCATACTTCAGGTACACAAAGATGGTGCATATCTAGGTTGTAGTGACGATGCAGACAAGAGCGTAGCCGAAAAAGCCGGAGACCATGATGAGTGACCAATTACTTATAGAGCACCAGGGAAAAAAGATGCTAACAAAGGTAAACAGCAGAGTGAAGTATATGCCTATACAAGCACAATGACCTTGGCAATCAGAATGAATAGCTCTATCATCATCTCTACCGCTTGATGTGATGGTCCTAAAAGACTGGAATAGTGGGAAATGAGTGAGCGTTGCCTTAGTATCATAGAACGGAGACGTAGGTAAATGGCCACGATCGATAGAGTAGAAATCTATGTGATCACCTTGCAGCGTGATGCTAAACCTAAACTATCAAAGGCCGCCAGCAACCCTTTTTGAAAATTTTGGAAAGTTCTGAATGACGTTAATCCTTTGTTTCCTGCCTTGATCACTTCGAATTTTTGATGTTGGGAGATTCTAACTATATTGCGTGTTGCGGTTGGTCTAAAGCATGTTCATTCATTTCTGGAATTCAGACGGACGTAAAACAATGCTATTAGAGGTCTGTCACATCTGCTTTTTGTTCTTTATGTTGGCTTGTTATGGATGAAAAATGCTGATGTTTCCAATTTGAAAGAAACAATGGGTCGATCTTGATTTTTGGTGAAAGGCTTAAGTCAAGTATTCTATTGTTGGCAAATCTGTTTGTATTAGAAATAGATAAAGAAAGCACCTATAGATAAATCCCAGCATTGATTCGAGTTTCAAAGAAGCTTCCGAGTATTTAACTGTCGACGAAGCCATTTTCTAGCCTCGATATTCATACACAACATCCATTCAGACAATCAACAGTGACTCAAACAACACAACAATCGAACCATCGCATTCAAACCAAAATTTTGAGTTAAAATCCAATATGCCTCGAACCAGCTTGAGATTGCACGCCAATTTAAAGGCATCCGAAGTGAACACTAGGAGAATCTGGATGCCGCTTCATCTTGACAACCTTGACTATCCACAGAACGTGCTTGATCGCCAGACTGTCCTCGATCTTATTCGAAGTGTCTATGATCCATTGCTGATTGCTTGGCTTGCTGATCCAAGTCATACCTGGGTAAACCAGTTCTCAAGAAGGTCTTCCGGCAACCAATTCCAAACACAGATTCTCGCTAGGATGGGAGAGCTGCCATCAAGTATTCAATCGATAGAGTCCGAGAAAGTTCTTGGTGAAATTCTATACGATATTCTTAGATTTTACCGACTCACCGATGCCGCCTGGAGGGTACCTGCTCTAGGCGCTGCTACCACTCCGCCTTCCCCTCCCCCTCCTCCCCCTCCTCCTGCTGCCCCTGCTCCTGACGCTATGCCTGCCGAAGGGGAAACTGGGGACGTGCTTTCTGCTGCTATTGCCATAGGGGTGGTTATCGCTGCTGCTAACCTAGAAGTGCTTACAGATGCCGCAACCCAAGTACTTGATCCTGCTACTGCTGCCCGCCATCCTACTCCGCTAGAGATACTTGCAGAAGTTGCAAGCTCAGCTGAGCCTAGTCCATTAGTTTCTCCTACTGCTTCCCTCGACATACTTGCTGCTGCTGCTGCCACACTTCCATATGCTCCTATGCCCACCCCTGCTGCTGCCCCCACCCCGGTTGACTCTCCTGCTCCTAGAACCAAGCGAGGTAGGGAAGATGAGCCTGAGTATGAGTCCGAGGAACCTGCTAAGAAGAAGCAAGCGGTGAGTCCGAAGTAACTCAGACCGTATCATCCTTTTCATCAGTGTCCATATGTGTATCTTTTCCACCTTCACTAAACTTTACTACAAGCACCTTTGATTTCTTAAGTTTAGAACTAGAAATTGATGGTTCCGATCTCATTTTTGGACTGCCCTGTACCTGTCTTCTATAGCGTGCGACAGTCCTGCACTCCCTACATCCCAACTCAAAATATGAAATCTGTGATTCATATCTTAATAGAATTAAGAGTGTACTTACTCGCGTTATCAGGATGCTTGACTTGGATCAGCTTAAAAGGCTCCTTCGTATTATGTATCACTACTACGGGTTTCCTAACTTCAAGTTTTGTAGCTTTAATCGCTATCTAGGTTCTATTCGAAATCCGCTATACACTACAACATAGAACATCTCGTAGTCCTTTACTAAGAAAAATTCGAATGAATGAGCATAATCAGATCGAAATTAATATAGAAACATAGAAATATAGATATAAATCCTTGTCATAATTCTCAGACATTGATGGTGTAGATTAAATCACCTGACCATGAGGAGTTGAGCCAAGTCCAAAAGCGGTTAGTGGCGATTTGGTTCTTGGCACTCACCCGTGAGTTTTGCGTGTCGCGACCAACCTCCCCAAGTGCCCACCAGCAACCCGTCCAATCATCACTTTAGGCCTCCTCTTCCATCTCCGCGGCCTTCTTGATTTATGCCCTTGCTGGCTTTGAATTGTTTTATTCTACATCACAATTGCGCTTTCACTGCAGACAGATTGACACACGGGAAAGGAGTTGACATTGTGCCGACCGCAATAGCTGCTTACTTTGATCCATCATGGATGACATTCCCATCAACCCGGCTGTAGCCCACGACAATGCCCAGTCTGTGACTGGCCTAGATGGTGCAGCTGATGCAACTCGCGAAGCCTCAGGTAGGCCTACTTCAAATGGCTCTGGTGTTGCATCAAGTGCTAAATTCATGGACAGGAGCGCAATCGCACCAAGCTTCGCCCGTGAAGAATATTGAGAATACACCTGGATCTGACAACCCGATGGACGCCCCCGTATCCCCCAAACCTCGGAACGGCGGAGTTGAACCGGAAGACGAAGAGATGGGTGGTACTGAGACTGATGCCAAGCCAGACGCCGAGGGCCTGGAGGATGCTGTGGGCGAGTCGCACACGCAAGTGGAGGGAGCGGATGGGCTTGAGGACGCTGTGGGTGAAGAACAACCCGCGCCATCCAAGTCATCTCTGGAAGCCGCCGCGCGCGAACAGCTCGTCACCCAAACACACGCCATCATCCTCCCCAGCTATGCAACATGGTTTGATATGAATACCATTAACCCAATCGAGAAGAAAGCTCTCGCCGAGTTCTTCAATGGCCGCAACCGCAGCAAGACGCCTGCTACATACAAAGACTACCGAGACTTCATGATCAATACCTATCGATTGAACCCCATCGAGTATTTGACCGTTACTGCTTGCCGTCGCAATCTTGCGGGTGATGTCTGTGCTATAATGCGTGTCCACTCATTCCTTGAACAGTGGGGTTTGATCAACTACCAGGTGAATGGCTTACTTTCCCCCACTCAAGTATCTTAGCTAACCCCTCTGCAGGTTGACCCTCAGACACGGCCGTCCAATATTGGACCGCCATTCACCGGTCATTTCAGAGTTATCGCAGATACTCCACGGGGTCTGCAGCCATTCCAGCCTGGACCAAATCACAGCGTTACGTCCGGCAAGATTCATCCAGCCACGCAGCGTGCCATCTCTTCCATCTCTGCAACTAAAGAAGACCTCAACCTAGAACTACGCCGCACCATTTACGACGAAAAAGGCAAGGATATCACCTCCGCGGAAGAGAAAGAGAAACAGACCAATGGCGAAGTAACAAACGGCTTGGATATGGCTCAAGAATCCAAGAAAAAGGCACACTGCTTCTCTTGTGGTATTGATTGCACCAAACTTCGATTTCACTACGCCAAATCGGCTTCAACATCAGCCAACGCTACTACACCAGACACCAAGTATGATCTGTGTCCCAACTGCTTCCTTCAAGGGCGTATGCCTTCTAGCCACAGTGCCTCGGACTTCGTTAAGCTAGAGGAGAAGAGCTACTCTCACTTGATTGACAAAGACACTCCGTGGTCGGACTCGGAACTGATTTTGTTGTTGGAAGGCCTGGAGAACTTCGATGAAAACTGGGAACAAATTGCGAGCCACGTTGGCACACGATCTCGGGAAGAGTGTGTCATGAAGTTCTTACAGCTAGAGATTGAGGACAAATACGTTGAAGATGTCCCTGAGCTGCAGTCTGGCAGCGGACGTGACCCCATCAGCCAGTCCGAAAACCCCGTTCTTTCTGTAGTGGCATTCCTGGCCCAGATGGCGGAGCCCGCAGTGGCTGCTGCCGCCGCCGGTCGGTCTGTCGAGGAGATCCGCAAGGAACTCCGGAGCCAGCTGGAGAGGGGACAAGGCAAAGGCAAGGATGCAATCAAGTCCGAGGATTCTATGGACGTGGATCCCACACGTGAGGCTGAACAGCAAGTTTCCGCGAAGCCCAAGGAGACCCTTGGCACCATCGCTCTGGCTGCATCTGCCGCACGTGCCGGAGCTCTTGCCTCGCACGAGGAGCGCGAAATGACCCGCCTGGTCTCTGCAGCAGTCAACGTCACCTTGCAGAAGTTCGAGATTAAGCTGCAGCAATTCAACGAGATGGAAGAGATTATCGAGGCTGAGCGTAGGGAATTGGAGCAGGCGCGCCAACAACTCTTCTTGGACCGGATGACGTTCAAGAAGCGTGTTAAAGAGGCCCAGGATGCACTTCAGACTGTCAGCCTGCAGGGCCCCAATGAGCACACAAACCAAATGCTGGCTGATGCTGCTACCACAGGCATTGGGAACCATTACAGCTTCCAGCCTGTTGGCGGAGATCTGCGGGCTGGAACTCAGCCTCTGAGCGCCCAAGCTGGTGTCGACTACAAGACCCTTGACCTGTAGGTTTCTTCAACACATGTACGATAATCCCCCATGGATCTTCTGAGAGAGGAACCCAAAGGGACTGATTTTGGTCTCGCTGAGTTATGAATATTCTGAACTTTCTGGCTCGGAAAAAAGGCGCACTTTTTTTTTGTTTTTCTGTTATCTGCTGGAGTTCTTTTCTATTGAGTCACCCTCTCTCCAGAAAGTGGATTGTTCTCAGGGGGTTGAACTAGGGGGTTGGGGCTCTTATTTCATCCATGCGTTTACTCTTTAATCATATGTCCATGATGGGAATCTTATATTCTTGATCAAAGTAAAGTGTAGTGCCTCTCATCTAGGCCACTGTGGGTCGCCTGGTTGACTAAACTTGATCTTGTAATGTTTATTGCAATTAGGACTCTCCAACGGTTGGTGGTTGTTCTCTTTGCTGAGATCCATGCTCGTCCTCTTCACTATCAACTATTGCCTCCTCGCCCGGAGGAACCGGAGCAGAGGGAGCAACTGCCAGTTCGTTGTATCTGGGCCTTTTCAGCGGAGGCATTTCTATGTCTTCCTTCAGATCGGCGAAATCGTATCCGTACTCCTCCCACTCGCTGCGGTAGACGATCCGATCACGCCAATTGAAGATATTTTCCCTGATTCTGCGCTCTGGCAGTAGCTTGTTCTCGTCCTCGGGTTCTTCTGCCTTCAGAGGTTCCTCGAGGACGGACGGCACGGGTTGTTCCATTAACTTCAGGAAGTTGGCCTCTTCGCGATGGCTGATGTTCTGATCTGCGATGTCTGCATCCTCTTCTTCTGGGTCCATTTCCAGTTCGTCGGGCAATACAACTGGCGCTAACATCTCGGGGGGCTCTCGGGTGGGCATGGGATCGTGATCGATGTCTTCTAGTTCTGAATCTGAATCTGATTCAGATCCGAACTCTGGACTGGGTTCCCGTTCTGGTTCTAGCTCTAGTGGCGGCACCGGTTCTGCCATTGGCTCCAATTCTGCCTCTCGGTTGTTGACCTCCATTTCAATGTCGTCATATGTCCCGATGTCATCGCCAATGATGGCATCGCCTTCACTGTCCTCTTCATCGTTGTCACCATTGTACATAGTTCCATCTTTACGGTAGCGGGTCCACTCGTGTCTTTCGATGATCTCTTTGGCTTCTTCGTAGGTGAATACCGTAGGCGTCCAGCCTTTCCGGTTGTTGATGTCTTCCAGGACTGTTTCATTGCGACGAGCGATATCCACAAAGTTAGGCCTGCAGTGCTTCATGTTGAGCACCTCAATGGCGGCCCGCACATCTTGCGTTCGAATATGTCCTTTTCTGTCATTCCCACTGCGGTTCGAGCTGCGCAATCTTGACATTGCAAAGAAGAGGGATGATTGGACCAAGCGGCGCGTAATGCTAACAGTGAGAGAATAGAAGTCCACAGCGGTATCTGCAGTCATCGATGGAGTATGTCCGTACGCTGTAATAAGGTCTTGTCTCTTGGCAAGATTCCACCAGTTGTTTTCAGCTTGTGTGCCACCGAAGTTCATGAACAATACATAAGAAAGTCGAACCCAATATGGAAGGTTCAGCAAGTCAGATGCGAGGCGGAGGTCACCTCGAGCACTGTTGTCCTCCTGATCGTCCAGATCCTGTGCACGATCACGAGTGATAACCCAGTTATCCCCATGTTGCTGTATTCCAGCTCGAGCTTCCACAAGAGACTCTTTCAACGAGAGGACATCCGCATATTCCTCGAGTAGTTCACAGCATTCCTCGCTGACCTCCGTGGCCGCTAGGACATCGCTCAAGACAGGCATGCGTTCCAGATGCACGTCGGAACTATACTGGGCCGTCAAGGCCTTATGCAAAAACTGAATGTATTCCATAACCTCGAGTTCTGACTTGGTGCCGATCGCAACAGCAATCTCTTTAATGCCACCCTTTCCCTTTCGGTCCAGTGCATTGAAAAACACTTCTTTCTCCGTGGGGGTCCAAACCATCGAGCCATGTTGACTTACTTGGTATGGATTATCAAGTTCTCTGAGCGAGGCAAAATCAATAATCTCCTCGTTTTGCACGATCATGTGGGCGTAGGCTCGAAGAAATGTGAGCGATCCACGCATTTGCGGGACGCGTTGCATAAGCGCATCGCCTATTTGTCGTCCGACCCCATCGAACGACGGGTCGCGATTGTAATCATATTCATTGAGATTTTGATTCGGGGTTGTAGAGCGTCCACTGGGCGAGCGGGGTTGCCCGAAGTCAGATTCAGATTCGGGTTGTTCGAAGTCGGACCCAGACTCGGGGTCGTCGTCGGGCTCATAGGCGGAGGCGGAATCGCTCATCGTTCAGGCTCGCAGATTTGCAGCGCACACGGGACGATCGATGGCAAAACATCACAGCTGCGCCCTTGATGAAATCTGCCACGTCAGTTTCATCAAAGAGCTATAGAAACAACAGAAAAAAAGTTGAGCTACGATCTCCACTGTGAGATGCACGGTTATCGATAAGCATATTTGCACTGTTTGCTCTTGCTTTTGAGCTTCGCCGGGGTGTGTGAGATGGCGATTACACTCTGCATGGAGTTCATACGCCGTGTCTCACGATTGAGACTCCCAAGGAGGTACTTGGTGCAGAGTCCTCTGTTGCAAAAATCGTTTCGCCATTTGCGCTTCAATTCGACTGAGTCTCCAGTTCCTCCAAGCATTGTACTCCGTGACTACCAAGAGGAAAGCATTCAATCTGTCCTGAAATATTTGGGCCAAGGCCATCGACGCCTAGGAATCTCACTTGCAACAGGAGCTGGCAAGACAGTAAGATGGAAGAAGCGTCTTTGTCCAAAATGGTACTGATCTTTGCAGGTCATATTCACACAGCTGATCAGCCGAATCCCTCCTCGCGATGCGAAAGCCACCAAGACCATGATCATCGTCCATCGACGTGAACTCGTCGAACAAGCCGCGAAACACTGCAGCCTTGCCTATCCAGACAAAACTATCGAAATCGAAATGGGAAAGAATGTTGCAACCGGAGCAGGGGATATCATCATCGCGTCAGTTCAGACACTAGCGCGGGGACGCATGTATAAGTTCGATCCGACTGCATTCAAGCTCCTATTAGTGGATGAGGCTCACCACATTGTTGCCAAATCATACCGCGAAGCTCTGGGGCATTTTGGGTTGAACGAGCCATCTGCAGATGGACCGGTCTTGGTAGGTGTTTCCGCTACGTTTTCACGATTCGATGGTCTCAAACTGGGGGCTGCCATCGATCACATCGTCTATCACAAGGACTACGTAGATATGATTGGTGAAAATTGGTTGGCCAATGCTGTCTTCACGACTGTCAAGTCCGGAGCCAATTTGTCCAAAGTCAAAAAAGATAGTTTCGGAGACTTTGCCCTGGGATCGCTCTCGGAGGCGGTTAATACTGCATCTACGAACAACATTACCGTTCGGGCATGGATGGCGAGTGCTGAGAATCGAAAGTCGACTCTTGTATTTTGTGTCGATGTCGAGCACGCGCGGCAGCTAACCGCTGTTTTTCGTGACCATGGTGTCGACGCAAGGTATATCACCGCTAGCACAGCTAAAGGCGTCCGCTCGGAGCAACTCCGGGCCTTTAAGGCCCAGGAATTCCCTGTGTTACTAAATTGTGGTCTTTTCACAGAAGGCACGGACATCCCTAATATCGACTGCGTGCTCCTCGCTCGGCCCACCAGATCTCGGAACCTGCTCATCCAAATGATCGGGCGTGGACTTCGCCTGTTTCCTGGGAAAAAGGACTGTCATGTTATCGATATGGTTGCCTCCCTAGCAACCGGAGTCCTATCAACACCGACGTTGTTCGGCTTGGACCCAGACGAAGTTTTGGACAACTCCAGCGTGGAAGATATGAAACAGAAAGGTGATCAGGGTAGTCAATCAGAACCAACTTCTGAGGCTGCTGAACCGTACGATGGCTCAGATAACGACCTGAAACTCCAATTTACAACTTATGACAGTGTATACGATCTCTTGGGAGACATGCAGTCTGAGCGACACATCAGGTCGTTCAGTCCACACAACTGGGTCCGGGTCGGCGATGACCGATATATGCTTACCGATATATCCGGCTGGATCACGATTGAGAAAGGAGACGACATCTTCACGGCCCATCACGTCATGAAATTCAAAGACCCAACAACCGAGACACCGCAATTCACACGTCCTCGAAAGATCGCCACTGGCTCGGACTTGGAGAGCATTGTCCGGGCAGCGGATACCTTTGCTAGTACCAAGTTTGATGAACATTACATCGCGTCCTGGAAACCTTGGCGACGGGCCCAGGCAACACCGGGACAAATTAAAATGCTGAACAGAGCTCGCATCCGAGATGGAACTTTGAAGCCCGAGGACCTGACCCGCGGCCAAGCGGCTGATATGATTACAAAGCTGAAGCATGGAGGTAAGAAGCGCTTCAAGGACTTGGAGGTTCAGAAGCGGAAAAGGCTACGGCAAGTAGATAACATGGCCGAGCTGCAAAGAAGGGTTAATGTGAAGGTTGGGCCAGTCGAGGCTTGACGAAATAACATGTGGTTTCTTGTTCCTCGTGGGAGAAACAGATACTTTTCCAGACGCGGATCCGTTCTCCACAGGCGCACAAGGTCTGAGAGTTACATGGCTCGAACGCTAAAAGAGCCCACGTTTTGCTTAGATTCCCAGATTCGAATCCTAGCATACGGAATATGGTCAACATCGCGTACTTTTAAAACACTATTTGATGGCCATAATATATATCGCAATAACCCACTGGGTAACTAGGAACAAGGAAATTCGGTCTAAACACCCCCAAACCAAAAACCAAATAAAAAGCCAGTCGTTCACCGTCGCTTCAAAGGCTTCCTGCCATAAACAACAACCCTACCGGACGTCAGTCTCACCTTCAACACCGAAGAAAAAGAACAGAAAAAAAACTCACTCCTTAACATAGGCATGCATCTGCTTATCCCTCAGGTGCTTCTTAACCATCGCCTGAAAGATCCGCGAAGGCTCCGCGCCCCAACCAAGAACCTGCGTACAAAGCCGCAACCCATAAGACTCCACAGCCTGCTGGGCCATCACAGCCTGATACTTCCCACACTCCTTTAGGTGAGGGTCTCGCGGCCACGGTGAGTACGGCAGAAGATATGTAAACTGCTGCACATCTTCAAAGCCCGCATCAACCATCCAGCGTTCCAGTTTATGGTAGATATTGAGCTCCCGTCCCATTGCCTTCCCTGCCATATTGAGGGCGTGTAGGTACTGAAGCAGCGGCGAGTCGGGCTTGAGGGTACCGTCGTCGCTCCAGCCCCAGACGGCGCTTTCTTGGATCTCGAAGTACCCACCTGGTTTCACATGGTCGAAGATCCGTGCGAAGAACTGAGACCAGTCTGCGACGCATCTGGGAAGGTGTGAGATTTGTCGGATTGGTGTTGGATAATCTTCGGATGGCTTACCCGGAGAGTAGACGTGCGTGGATGAAGTCAAAGCTGTTTTTCTCATACAGCCATTCGCGTTCGAAGTCTTCGACGATGAACTCCACATTCGGGGTGACCCAGTTTGGTTGGATCGCGCTGATGTCGTTTCCGATTACCTTGGCACTAGGGAATTTCCTGTGTTCGATGTGAGCTTCGAACATAGATCGCGGTGTAATATGTGTGTTTGTACTCAGCAATATCAAGAGCCCAGATGCCAGTGCCGGTTCCGAGATCAAGGATCTTTTGGGGATTTGTGACTGGGGCTTTGTGTAACTCTCCCTTCATCATCAGCAGCCATCTTCATTTGCTGTATTGTTAGCATCGCGAAAATCAAGCAAATGAGGTCGTAGCTGACATATGATGTGCCTGCGATTATTAGTTAGATCGTTTAAACGTTATGGGAGGTGTCATCTCATACCAAGTCCATCCGGTCTTGCTCTTCTTCATCGTTTGGCATCCTATTTGAGTAAGTTCCGCATTCAGATTCCATAGTATCGAGAACCACATTACATGTAATGTCCCTACTGATGGGTTAGAATCCGATCCTATCAGGACGAGCGCATCGAAAGCATCGAAAAATAAAAGGGAGGCATCCTTACAGTTCGGTTGCTGTGATACCGCCGACCATTCTCATATTCATATTCCAGAACGCTCGAAGAAAGAGATGTCAGATCAGAGTCACTGTTAAATTCACTTTCTTCGTCCTTTTGGTAGAATGAGCACCCTGGAAATCGGAAAAGGCGGAGACTTTGACCACGTACACTGAAATCATCGACAACAATTGGGCCATTGGCGTTGATCGGAGCGTTTGTTTGGTCATTGAGTGGATGGTGTTGGGGACTGGGATGAGGAATTTGGGGTTCAGGACTTGATTCCTGACTCCGGTCATCGCTTTCATATACAGAAGCCATTGAACGAAATCTACAAAGGGTTCAACGTTCAGGTGGACGGGGTCTGGTGGCGGGAACCCCGGTTTTACTGCTGTCAACACCATACCTTTCATACACATATGACAGGTCTCATGTCAATCTGACATTTTTGTCAGCTTTGGAGGTTCCACATGTTCACATTAGCTCTGTTATCTGTCGGTGAAGGAGATGTACGGTGCACGTGAAATGTCTATGCGGGATGTCTATATAAAATGGTCATCTGGGGTAGGTTTATACTATCTCTACTTCCGTTACTGTGGTCTTGCCCACTGTTTTCAAAATTCCAAATCTTCCACTATCTGGCTTTGTTTTCCAAAAGGGACCTTGACCCCTAGACATTACCGAGAGCTGTAATAGTGGCAATATAATACAGCTATAATACAGCTAATCCATCCCGACAGTCTGGTAACCAGTAATAGGGATGCAGCGTAGGTCTATGCAGAGGGGGAAAAAAAAAAAACCAAGTTCGGAATGGATCTGATTTGTGAGAGATTTTTTACAACCGATCTAGATCATCGATGTTGCATCGAGGTCCATACCAACATTTATATAAACCAGTGCGGAGGCGAGAAGGGGTGGCATGTTGAACAAAGAAGTTCACTTCTGCATACACTTGTTGCACAACATAACTAATGAACGAATTCAGCGTGCGGGATGTAGTGGGGAGGCCCATTCATGGGACACATTCTGTTACATGATTGGATTAGAGATCTTAGCTGGGGGATCGAGAGTCCACGTTCAAATGCTGGTTATGTTAGGGCTTAGCCTTTGAGACACATGAATGATACTCCATATGCACTTGACACATGAATACGTCGTAGAGCGTACGCCATTCTAAAAAATGTGCACAAAGATATATAACACAGGTCCTCGACACGTTCAAATGGCCTCTGCGACCCGTGAGAAATCGGTTGGTCGGCCATCAGGGAGATCTAGGATTGGATGAATAGGCATAAGCGGCAATCTAAGGAATACTCTCCATCTTTAGGAAAAATGAATCTGTATTCCGTCATACTCATTTTAAAACAAAATCTCTTGCCACCGTATTTCTTTCAAAGGCGACGTCAGCTGAAGCAGGGCTGCCCCTGCAACCTCCTCGCCGCTGGAAATCAAAGGCTGAATCTTTTCCCATTGGCTCTGTCATTTACTCTGTCATGCCCTTTGTCGGATATAGGGAGGTTTTCCCAAAAACTTCCAAAAGACTTTCATGCCATTTGGAGGATGACCAGGATACGGACTATTTTCCCTTACATCCCAGTAGCTCATCGCCTTGGCCCTCAACGGGCTCGAAGATGGGTCAGTGTTTAGAAAACATAAAACATAGATCTTCTAGGAATCACAGCTGTGATGTGAATTCCACAAGAAAGGCAAAGAATGATGAAATTTGGACAAATCTGGTGAATCGTACGAGTCACCCATGAAGGCTCGACAAGAAACAAGTACCAAGGTTATATATCAAACCCCGTTTGTAATCCTGACAAGGCCGCGATATGTGGACCAACACGGACACGCCACGCAAGCTAAATATCCACAGTCTTCCATACAAAGACGGACACTGGCATTCACCACAGAACGGAAAAATACACCCCCCTTCACATTCGCGTTCAACTAACGCGAACTTATCCATGTCACTGTATCATTTGAAGACTAAATGTTAGTCTAAAATGACAGTTCCCCTATCTCAACAGCTATCTCAACAGCTATCTCAACATTGCAAGTATACCCTTGAGGAGTACATCTCATCTGATTGCCGTCAGATCGGACGACATTCCGAGACGGATTGAGGAGCCGGCGCACCCCCAAAAGAACTTGCTTCGATCCTGATGATGGCCGTCTTTTTTAGGATGGTTCTATCTTTCTTTGCAGAGCCAGTTTATAGGCATGTGCTTGTGTTCGGACCGCCCCCAGACCTGAGCGCCGTAGTGCAGTGATTATCAGGCCTCTCCCTAGCTACTTGGCTAGTGTGCATGACATTTGATAGGAAAGAGAATCAATCCTCCTTCTCTCCTCCCTGCTCCCAAATAGTCAGATCTATTCAATCGGGAGAAGGACAATCTCCGAGAAAGAAAGAAAAAAAACCCCCCTTTCATGAAAGCACAATACAACGGTGATGTTAAATTTCCTGTATATGGACACCCAAAGGAGAACATCGCCATGGAAGTATACTGAGCATAAAGAGAACAAACCCGTCGTTGAGATTTGAATGGAAGTTAAAACAGAAATTCGAGATGGAGTGCGCAAATGGAGGGGATGCTACCAGGTCAAGGATGAGGTAGATAGAACAGGAAGGGTAGGTTGAATGCAATGCTGAAGGCAAACCATGAAGCATTTTAGTACATTTTAACAAGTCAACTGCTTAGGACAAGGGCCAACCGGCTAGTTT